TGCAAATTATTATTATTGTTATACTTTATTCTCAAATTGTTAATGTTAACAACATCAGCATTGCGTGACTATGAGTATTTATTAGCATGTAGATTTCAATTTCTGTACAGTCTAATCTCTAATTGTCAATACCATTCGAATTTCATATTAAGAAATTATTTTAACCTTATTTACACAAGATTACATCTTGTGTAATCCCAGGCTATCTGTAATCAGAAGCACATTTATAACTGGAATATAATTTAATTTCATTCACATGTGTTTCATAAACACATAATCCTTTCTTGATTACAATCCGCCATCAAAATGATGCATTTAATTATTCTAGCTCCTGTGAGAAAAGGCTACAAACGATCGGCCACCTGCAGGATCCTCACATGCGATAGCCTAGTGGCCGGGACAACTTCTTTATGTTTACAGAAGTGATGTAATGATGCAGCAGCATGCTCGAACTTCCCGCAAAAACCTACCCGTACCACTCAAATTAGAAAACATTATTAGAAGCTGACCGTTGTGAATTGGGCTAAAGTAAGGCGATAGTTTTGAACACTGGCTGGTTATGTACTTGCTCAAATATTGATTTCGGATAATTAATAACCAAAAAAAGTTACGGACTGCAGCTTTAAACAAACAAATAAACAATTAATTAATTTATTTGTTTGTTTGTGGTGAGAGTTATTTGGTTTTAGACAAACTGAACAACACAGGTTTAAACTGGAAACTATGATTTCCGATTGGATCAATATATATAAATGCATTTTAAATGACACAGTCGCTTCACTGTTTTCATTGTAATGCTGAAGCAGAATTTCTCACGTGTTTTACTGTAGGGTCTCTCGGAGGATGTACTATGAAACTGGGCAGGGAAAGGGCTTATGTTCTGAGAGCTGAGCCAAAGATGACAGCTCAAAGCTGATGGCGATGCTGCAAAATGAAACGGTTTGCCAAGACCCTCATTTTTTCACCCCATTTCATCTTTATTCATAGCCCTCCAGTAAGTCAGAGTCAACATGATTCTCAAATTTTCAACAACGCTAATGCTGCAACATCTATTAAGCTGAGTGGCATGTGATGGTCCTGAAAAGAAAAGGCAAAGTTCCTCTTAGCGTTGGAGTTTTTTTTTTTTTTTTTAGTCCGTTCCATTTCAGTGAGTAAAGTTCCATTTCTACTTGATGTTTCTGGGTTAAAGTCATAAGGAACAACATTTATCTTACACAAACAACAAGAAAAAATAATAGTTTATATTATTCACATGCACTGAAAAAGGTGAAATTACTATGCCATTTATTTAAAAAAGTTAATTTTTATACCAGTTTAATCAATAGTTGTTGTTTGCAATTTAAAACTGTTTTGTTCAGTTTGTCTAAAAAGCATCTTTATTTAACAAATTAAAGGAAACGATTTTGATACCAGAGTGCTGATGTGCAAAACACATGGCTAGCTTTACTGACAGCAGAAATTATTATGGGGTTTGTAAATTTTTCTGGTGTTTTTCTTTTTCCTTTGTTTAGTACATTTACATTACATTCACATTTAGTCATTTAGCAGACGCTTTTATCCAAAGCGACTTACAAATGAGATAATAATAATAATTAATAGTACATTAAAAAAAGACATTGAGATAAAAAATGAAGAATAATTTTGAAATTGTCTTATAAATGAAATATGTCTTAAAAAAGAAACAAAACCTTCTAGTGAAAATTGCACTTTCATATTATAGATACGCTGTTGTTTGTGGTGAAATTCAGTTGTAAAAATACAAAAGATTATTAAGGTTTGAACCAATACCATAAAAAAATGCATTTGGCTAGTACATTTTCAGTATTATTTTTTTAAAACTCTAATTGATTTATTTTATAGTAAAATCAATTCATGTTTCAGTAAGTGTTTTATTTATGTATTTATTCACTTATTTACTCACTTACGTACTTACATTAATAACCTTGACAATAATACAGTCAAACCAAAAATTATTCAGAAACCATAGATAATGTTTGATTTTGTTGTACTTTTTTACTATTTTTTTACACTTTAGGTGTCTGAATAAATTTTGGTTTGGCTGTATATACAATAATACAACGAGAAGCATGTTTTTGTCACTAACTGTTGTTTGGCTTTTATTATTAACTGAGTAACTTAATTTAGTTACTAAAAACTCAGAGTTCATCATTTTTAAGTAATTTCAGTCACACTATGTTAAGGTCCAATTCTCACTACTAATAAATCATTAACTATGACTATTGCCTCAATAAACTCCTAATTTGCTGCTTATTAATATGTAGTAATGTAGTTGTTAAGTTTAGGTATTGGGCAGGATTAAGGATGTAGAATATGGTCATGCAGGATACATGCTTTATAAGTACCAATAAAAAGCCCATATGTTAATAATAGGCATGTTAATAAGCAACTAGTTAATAGTGAGAATTGGTCCCTATACTAAAGTGTTACCGTAATTCAGTGGTTGAGTTGTTAACAGTGCAATCAGTCCACAGACTGGTTTCAAACATGCAATTCCCTGATATTATCAAAAATAATCACCTTCACAGAGTCAACAGACAATTATATCTGCTTCTTCTCACTTGACTTTCACCTGTGTTGTGCTGTTACACCAACATACACGTTTCACGACATGCTTTCAGAGCTCAGTGAGAACATTATGACCTTGAGGGATAAAAAGATGATTTTACATCTGCTGGTGTCGCTGTTGGACAGCGTTACTGAAAACGACTAATTTACACATTGTTTGATGCATATTTCTTTTGCCTCATTTCTGTAGTTATTTTCTCATCCATTTTTTTGGAAGATGCACTTGACAGCTTTTCCTCTGTAGAGAAAATGCCCCTGATTAATCCGCTGGAACACATACAGTAAAAAAGACAGAGCACAAGAAGGGAAAGAGCGATAAAGAGAGTCATAGAAAGGAAAAGAAGAGGGGAGCTTATCTAAACTCAGCCCAGGGTCAAAATGTCCCAAACTCACAGAACTCCACATCGCACTTATCTGTGTTTACTAAGCAGAGAGATGCAGAGATAAGTGATTCACGAGGCTGCTTCCGCTGTATCAGAGCGGTTACAGTGCTTAATGCTGTTTTTGATGGAGTTTAATTAGTTTGGCTTTGCAAAGTCAACATACTGTTATTTAATAATTTTATGGGACCAAAATGTTCAAATGTAACTTCTAGTGCTTTCAGATGATCACATTTTCCATCTACTTATCTACGTGACTTGTTGCATGCAACATTACTGCAGGCAGTGCTCCCTCACCAACCCTTTCACAGATGAGAGAAAGAAAAATGGATAAATTGGGCTGTCCCACTGAGAACACTGCCCATATGAGGCTTGGTCTGAGCACACTAAAGGTCACAGTCTGAAAGGCTTGCAAATACACACACACACACACACACACACACACACAAGCTCAAAATTAATGTTGGTAGAGAAATACTGGCACTACTGGAACTCAGGGTTAATTCATATCAAGTCTGAAGGGACACTCACATTGAGAAATCTCATTTGCTTTTTAAAATTGTATTTATTGATTGATTGATTGATTCCCTCGCAGCAAATGATTAGTGAAAAATGCTGAGTGCTAACCTCATGCTATCAAACTGAATATTAAAGGTGTGTTTTTTTTTGTCTTTTCTTGTCTTTTCTTTTCTTTTTGACCCTTGATTTAATACTGTTAATTAATATAAATAAATAAATAAATATAAATTCAACAGATCATGTCAAAATAATGATAATTTTGTACGGTTTTGATTTTTGGATACAGTCAAGAATATCAAGACCACTGAGGTGGGACAGGCTGAAATTGCCAACATAATACACATACAATTATTCTTAAAATAATAATAAAAAATAAAAATGAATAAATAAATAAATGAATAATAATAATAATAATAATAATAATGCTTAAAATGATTTAGAAATGGTAACGGACACCAAAGTGTACCTTACTGATAGAAAGTAGCTACATAATGAACTAATCCTGTGGACACTCTGCTACACCTGTGTGAACTCGAGGGGAACTGACTTCATACATCCATTAAAAATCACTGGCAGCTGGTTAAAAGTCATTGCAAGAATGGCTCAGAAAATATAAATAATATGCATTCATTTGTGGGTGTTCAAATAGTAAATATAAAATCTAACAGATGCATAATACTGTAGATAGATGAACTTTTTCAGTTATATTTTAGTTCTGAATTTTAAATTGTAAACGTAATTATGAATAGCCGTCCATACAAAAGTAATAACCGTCATCTGCAAACTCCATTTAATACTTTAGTGTATTATCTGAGAACAGAAAAGTGTCTAAGCTGTCATTTTATTGACGTTTAAAACCCTCGCTCCTGCTGTTTGGTTAACAAGAAAAATATTGGAATACAAACTTGAATCATGTCAGAAGATTTAGTATTTGCACATTTGCCAACTTACTATTTGAATTAGAATTTATTTTTCTGTTTTCACTTTAATTTTAAAGTTGTAGCAATGTTGTTGTGCGTTTTTGTCATGTTTATTAGTCATTAGTGTTTCTTTTTTTTTTTTTTTTACATTTTGTATGTCTCCTTATCTGACACATTCATTTCAGTTCATGTTCAATTTTTTCTTTGCTACCTAGTAGGCCACTGTAGATGACACTGAACAAAAAATGTACGATTGAAAATATACTTAGAACTTTTTTTAAAGATTTTTATGAACCATGTAAGGTTGAACTGGATCCCCATTGTTTTCCAATTTTCTTCGTGCTGGTATCACCAAACACAGATGCCGCGGCCGAGCAAATAATGAAAGCTGGGGTGCGCCGTCTTCTGCCTTTACCTGGCAGCAGAGCGGCGAAAGGAGAAAAAAATACAGCTCAGTGTGTGTACGTGTGTGTTCGTGTCCCCACCGTGTGTGTGTTTGCTGGTGAAATGTAGCGGCGAGTCTTGCTCTGGACTGTTACCAAGGGCCGAGGGTTCAGGATAATGAAAGCACCATAGTGACATGTTCTATACTCACTTTTGTACTCAAGGTGAAATCCAGCCGCGACGACACTGATATCTGTATGGAAGTGCAGGTAAAGCTGGTTGGAGGTGCTGTTCAACAAGGCTGGAGCTGTTGTACCTGGAAGATAACACCAGAAAGGGGTATGAGCAGGAAAAGGGCTGGAGTAATCACACACGATGACAGTGTGTTCTCATTCCAGCGCTCACACACACAAACACAACACAGTAGCTAAATCATGAGTGCGTGCACACATGCAGGAACAAAAGGGCAAAGGGAGATAAGCAGCTGTTAATCACGTATTGCTCCTGTGAAAGACTCGCCCGGTTTGGACATCAGCCAAATGAAACGGAGTCAAGTAAAAAGGGACGGCAAAAAGGAAATGTTTGACAGGCGTTAGTCATTGAAGTGTGTCGCTATCCTTCTGAGCTCTCAGGGGGGAACTTTCATCATAGCTCAGAGGGAAGAGTCACTTATCATCAGACTAAAAAGCAAAACAGCTACTGCCACTCTGGATTCAAAGCAGAGGACTTTCCTTCTGCTTATACATATATGGACATAACCAATACAGAGTGTGACATATTTAATACATGGAGGAAATGTCATGAATACTATATAACATCCTTAAAGTCAACATGAAATGCGACAATTCATAATGCGACAGATTTTTGAGTGAAACGGGGGAGAAAACTGTTGGCCGGGACTTGATTTTATCCATAGAATTGGTTGAATTGTGAAAAACGGGCATTATGTATTAGAATAGAGTCAGGCAATTGGAAGGGCAGATCAAGGAGTGAACTGATAAATTGTTCACTGTAAAAAATATAAAAATAAAAAAAAAAGCTGTGGTTCGGTAAAAATTCATCCAAAACTCAAAAAACATTTATAGAACAACCTGTACATTTTGTGGAAACTATGAAGAAACACCAATTAACAGGTTTTTACTTTAGTTTTTTTTTTTTACAGTTTTATACAGTAACTGTATATTACAATCATTTCACATTAAGACCAGAAATGTGAAATTTTGATTTCATGTTGACTTTAATATGGAACATATTTTCTATAATGTCATATTTTATTACTCTTAGCCTACACTTTGTTTTCACATTTATCATTTTTGAAAATGTTTCTTAGCACCAAAATAGTTGTAATTAACTATTTTCTACCTCAACATACAGAATTCAATTACCACACAAATAATACCGAGTCGTCCCTCAGTTTGAAAAAAATAAAAATAATAATAAAATCACAGTGCATGTTTATGATGCAAAATACTGCACCAGGTTACATTTTAAAATGCATACTGTTTGGAAAGAATCACAAGGCCGGCAGTGAAGATGGATAGTGAGCAGTTCCTGTGTTTAGTGTTCTCTGATAAATGGCATGCAATACAAACATCTGGATGGTACTGGTTAAGTAGGTTAAGCTATTTGTCAGAGTATATCTGCATTTTAATTCCATTTTTTCCGCACTGATTGATCTGAACAGACAATGTCGATATTGCATTAATGTTTGTGACAAATTAATTTCAAATTAGAACAGGCCTTCAGGCTAAAAAAAACCCAGCATTTTACAATAAGGTCCCATTAACACATGAACTAACATTAACTAACAATGAGCAAAACATTATTTAATTATAATATGTGTTAATGTTAATAAAATACAAATATTTTTGATCAACATTTGATTTTAATAATGCAGTAGTAAATGATGAAATTAACATTAACTAAGATTAATAACTCTTTGGAAGTATTTTTCATTGCTAGTTCATGTTAATTAATGTATTTAACTAATGAAATGAAAGCTTATTGCAAAGTGTTACCTCCTCACTTAGGGCAACATTAAAGGCTGCATGTGCAAACCAATGCATTTGAAGAATGTGATTTATAATGTTAAAAACGGGACAACTGCATCTCACAACACTACGGTAATACATGAAGTTGAGCTCTGGCACAAAAATGAACATTTCTGCAATGCATCACATCAGAATCCAACATCTCAGGTTCCTGCAGGCTTCCCAGCTTCTTTTCTCCTTTGAGCTCATTTGCTTTTACCCATATTCTTTTTTATCTCCCTGTGGGAATGAAGGTACAATTCAAATACTGTGTAAAAGTAAATAAGCTTGGAGTAAACAAGATTGTAAAAATAATCAACAAATACTGTTTATAGTATTCAGTGCCTTAGTACGCCGCCGCATAGCAACTCGGGATGAATGCTTAAATACACCCACATAGCCATGGCATGCGCTTAGAGAACTGTTTAGTTTGAGAAGAAAGATTTCTTTCAAACTCACATCTGTAGCATTTATTCATACATGGCTTGTTTATATCTTTACACAAATGCCCAAAATGGTGTCATGCAGTTGCCAGGAAATAGTTCCCCGGCATCTTTTGCATTTAAAACATCCTGCCGTTCTGACTGCTAATACTCCAGTCGATCCAAGTCCAAGTACATTAGACTGATGACCGAAGCCTGAAAAATGCTCCTTTGCGCTTGAATGATTTGACTAATAATTTTTGGATGAAGTTTGACAGCTCCGTAGAGCTCATCCAGTGTCCAGCTATTCAGCAGTCTATCATCTCTATTAGGGACAAGGCAATCTAGAGAGGATCTTAAAACGCTCAGACGAGACTCGGATGAGTTTAAATGGACTTTGCCAGACAGAATATGCTACATTTACAGTACTGAATCACATTGGATGGCAAATAGGACAAGGAGTGATGCATCCTCACAGATTAAGGGGATTTGAGAAGAAGGATTCTTTGTGAAATACATGCCCATGATTGGATTGAACCACTACAGACCGATATTCCTTCTAAGCTGAGCACTGATGTTGCTCCCGCACAGATGGGAAAAAAAAAAAAACTGCAAGCAGAAGGCAGACAAAAAAATGTGTGGGGTAAAAGTGAGATGAACAGGCAGCGTTTGAACTGGAGTCCAACCACATGTCCATTAATTTTCAATGTGCAACTGAAGCTGTGGGAGATATGCTTAGGATCATATAAAATAATTATCAACTATATAATCATATTACAACATAGTAATAATTATGTTTGATTATATATATATATATATATATATATATATACGGTCATGCAGAATAAGGCATTAATATGTGTTTTATAAGTACTAATAA